TGGTTTGGCATGCTATCCTCAGCAGTGTTCTCAGCAACATTATATTGAATGTCAATACAAAAAAAAAAAAAAAATACAAATATTGTTCCCCCCTTGCCAAGCTTGCTTATATTTCCCCTTCAACGGATTGGCACTAAATCACAAGATATTTAGATTCACAGTCTAGGATTAGAAGTTTACATGTTACTTTGAACCTAAATTACCTATAATCCCACTCTCAAGAAACACAGCCCCTTCATCAGTGCAGGATTTAAAAAAAAAAAAACCAAACAAACCAGTATCTTCAGGGAAGATAGAAAGCATAATCCTAGTGTGGGTACTCTTTGGACTGTCTGTTCACAGGCACTTTTAAACCTCAGGCATTTTTGTATCATGCTGGGGTCTTAATCATTTTTCTATCTTGTTCTCTTAACTTTTTAAGAGACCATAAACCTGGGAAATGCATTTTTAAAAATCTGTACTTGCAACAAGGAAAATGCTCAATACTTTTGAAGCAGTTTATTTCCCCAAATGGTTCTGAATCCAAACATGTTTGTTATAAATAATTTCTGAGGTCTATGTAATATTTATGCAGGAAAAAATCTCTGAAACTCCGTATCATATTTTGAAAAAAAAAGTGACACAGAGAAGAGATGGCTTTCTTACTGAACAATAATGGCTAGCATTTCTACTGGCATATTGCAAATGTCTCCAAGCAAGCAAACTTAGCTGGGAAGGCTGCCATTATTGGGAGTAGAGAGAGGCCTGAATATTTTCCCATTAGGAAGCCACGCAATTTGGAAAAGGGTCTCTCAGTTCCAATTCAGCCTCTCCTCCTGTCCCTTTGGCAGAATCACTTAGGCCAACAGAAAGATTGCTATATTGAGTCTGTGTACACACATTCAAATAATCTAGGAGAATTCTCCCAGGTTTGTTCCCTTGGTAAAGAATCTTACCCAAAGCCATATATACATTTGAGTGCTGAGGCCCCAAAGAGCAAAGAGCTCGCAATGCTAACACTGTGTGGTCTGGAGGGTTGCACACAGACAGATAGAGCTGTGCACACATCTCAGCATGCCCTACAGGCTCCCCTAGTCTGCTTGGTGACATACAACTGCAGTGCATAGGGCATCTCCGATAGGCTGACCCAGAGTACCCATGGTCAGCCTGGATTTTGCTGCAGCACAATGTGGAGATAGTGAAGGGAGCATGCTCTGCTCCCTGCTGGAGCAGACTCCATCAAGTGACACACTGTCTACTGGGGAGGGAGGAGTGGGTGACAAAGGGGGTTGGAAAATGTTGAATAACTATGTTCCCTTCTGAGAGAAGCCATAGCATGTACAGCCATTCAGTCTCTCAGGTGAAAGTCACCTGGGAGTGTTTTAACCCTAGTTGTTCCAAGGTTATTTTTCTCCTGGAGTGGCCATTTTGACTCTAGGGGGAAAAGCCTGAACATCTGTACGCTAATGGTTTTTCCTAAGAGAGCCGTGACTCTCCCAGGAGAAACAATATCTGTACAAGGCCTAAGTGACTGCTCATGTAGGAAGTCTGAGACCTAGCTAGGCATAGAATTCCAGGACTCAGATATCCCACTCCTGTGCTACTTGTACAACGTTATTCCATGTTACAGGAGGAAAATGATTTAAAAAAAAAAAAAAAAAAAGCATTTTCATATAAAGAATGCTTAGATGTTCTGATGCTTGGCAGCTAATATCTAGGATGAACAGTTTGAGAGAAGCCAGATGGAACAGATAGGATGTTTTAGCTTTAAAACTCTCACCTGGGCCATGAATAATTATATTCCATTTCATGTACTTTTGTAGACCAACCAGCCCTGGATGATTTTTTTTTTTCTGTACATCAGAATCTCAGTTATAAAATGGTGATAAAAAGCATTTCATCTGGTAGGATAATTACATTCTAGATTGTGTGCCACTCATATGCTAATAACACAGTTCTGTATAGCCAATGTCGAAGTGTTGACAGTGGCAGGCACAACTCTGCACTGCCACTACCACCCCTGATGACTTCAGTTGTGAAATTCACTGCTCTCTTTGCACCTTAGCTGAATAATATTGATATTAAAGCAGGTAACTCTGGACTAGAATGTTACAAAAACAAGACAGTCATCTAAGAAAAGAGATATCAGCCAAGATTAAATGAGAGAGCAGTGGGAATTTGGGAACCCAAAGGCTGGTGCAGGAACTGACCATAAAGTGTTCAGACATAAAATGATCTTATGGTAAAACAGCTAGATAGAGGCAAATGCAGATTTAAAGCCAAGCATAGCACAGAGAACACAGACATCACAGAGGATGAAAAAAAGAAGATCACAGAAAAAGAAAAGAATTGCTAACATGAGCTTGAACAACAAATGAAAGTCATGCTACTTGACAAGGGCAGTGAGTAGACACTTTTTTTTGACTGAAACAGCTATTAGATAAAAGTGCCAAAAAAACCCACTGAAGCACTCAATCTATACAGATGTTGGGTGAGCTGGGTCGAAGTAATGTGTTGCTTCTTCTGGTAAAAAAACAAAACAAACAAAAAAAAAAACTCTTTTTTTTTTTTTTTTTTTAAGTGGTCTGCAAGCAGCCATAGTTACCTATGTCTTTGGCTGGGAGCACAACAATAAGCGCACATGAGAAAGTTGATGTGCACACATGCAGTACTACATTAGGGCAGTTGCAGTACATTCATTTTAGGATGTAAAACATTGAGAATGAGTGTGTCACACCTCACTGTGGTGCTCCTTTGCACAGTACAGAGGTACTGTAGGCATTAGGGGTATGTGAAACCGGCCATATTTGATTCAGATTCAGCCCAAATCAGGGACAGCGATTTGATTTGTTGATTCAGATCACTGTCCCCGATTTGATCTGGCCGAATCCAAATCTTCACTGCTGATTCAGAGAATCAGCAATTCAGCCATAGACACAGCTAAAATTTTTTTCTACATACATCAGAGTAGCAGGCATGGCTCATGAACTCTGCAATACTGGAGCATCCCACAGGAGTATATATGTATATGCCTGTATACAGGTAGGGGGGCGTGCTCGGCAGCAAAGCTGGAAGCGGACCAGAAATACTGCCGGTCTACTTCTGGGTCTGCCAGGGAGCACTTGGGGGGGCTCCCCCATGCCCCTCCAGTTTGGCAATTGGCTTCGGTGGGACCCCAGGTGCCCCCCCCAGAGCCAGAAGGCACCAGTCACTGAGCTGGGAGTGGGGGGGCCAGCACACTCCCCAGTAGACCCAGAAGTGCTTCTAGGTTTGCTGCTGAGTGTGCTGGGGAGCCTCCTATACTCCTGTGGGATGCTTCACCCACCCCAGCATTGCAGCATTGATGAACTGCCTGGTACCTTGAGGTATGTAGAAAAAACATTTAAAGCTGTGTCTATGTCTGAATCACCGAGTCTTTCCAAATTGATTCAGAGGGTTCCCATTCGATTTGGAGAGATTAAAGGGTCTCCTGATTCAATTCAGATATGGAGATTTGGCCACTGAATTGGGCCAAGTCTCTGCTAAATCGCTTCAGGAACCAAAGCTTCGCACAGCCTTAGTAGACATACCTATATTTTCTCTTCACCTTCGCTCCCTATCAGGGAAATGATGGTCTTGGGTCCCTGCTTGGCTGGAGCAGTAGCGTCCAGTCCAAATGACACACGGTATCCCTGAGAGGGAGGGGAGAGAGGGCCAGAAGCAAAGCTCCTGGGTATGCTGGAGGACTGTGCTATAGCATCTCTCAGAAGGGGAAATGTACAGACATTCACTCTCCCAGAAGAAACTCTTGGGAATTATTTAACCCTGGCTAGTCATAGGTTATTTTTCTCCCAGAGTGCACTGGGAGTGCACTCTTGGTCATTTTGCTCTGGGAGAAGAATCCTGAACATTTATATACTTCAGAATATATTTTGTGTAGCAAAAACACAGTACAATGCTAAAATCATATGATAGATTAAAATTTACATGCAGCAGTTTCCCCAGGATACTTGTTATGAAACTTTTAAATTAGTTTTCCTTCACAATTTTCACCATGTTTCTGTTCCTAATATATTTCATTTCTTATTGAGAAACAGGAGAGCCCTCCTGTGGCTAATCTGACACCTCTGGTGTCCCACATATATTATTTAAGTTTGTGGTAAAGGGGGAATAAAATCACTTCAAAGTTCTCTTTCACTTTCATTTTGGGAAATTTCATGCACCTGAAGTTTATTTTCTCAAAAAAAGCACACAAAATGTTTATTTTCAACTTTGAAAATTAATAAAAAAACCTTTTAGAAAAAGAAGATCTCCCCATATAACAGGGATATAAGCTATAGAAGAGCCCTTACTGCTGGGTCTATCTTCTGACTTGTAAAGCAAGAGAATGGGTGTGTTGACCAGCCTACAGGGTATGGTTATCATGCTATCTTTTAGCCTTTCCAAGTTTCTTCCCCCTAGGCAACCTATTGATAATTCATGCACCTGGAAGCAGAGTACAGGCTACTAGTCCACATGGCTAGTCATCCACTGCCAGAATTTAAGCCACCAAAGTAGTAAAACAAATAGCAGCACATGCACCAGCTTTGTATTAACTGCTCACCCTAAAGCCCACTGAAGTCTTTGCAGCTGTTTGTAGGTTTCTCATTTATGTTGTAAAGTTAACACCTTCAAATCATCCGGTTCTTATTTTAACTGCAAATGAACCAACCTTACGCTCAAGAGGCTCCATCTATAGCCATGACAACCCCCGAGGCCAGATATAGCAGAGCAGCCATTTTATCATTCACAATACTTTTGCACCAAAAAACTCAGGAGTTGCCCTCTCAGGGTAAGAAAGTTTATAGCCCCATCCCCAAATCCGAAGAGCCTTCATGAGTAGGCTTGAGCCTCTTCCTAATCTGGGACTCTCAGATTCTTAGCCCTTTCACCTCTGGGATTGTCACTTCCCCATCTGCATGGGGAGATAACCCCAAACCCACTTCCCCTTAGTGGGTTCTAGCCCAGAGACCCTATGCTAAAACAACAGATTCCCTTCTTACCTTTCCCATTTCCAAGGTCTGCTTCCTGTCTTCTCTGCTCAGCAATTGTTCTCCCAATATTGCTTTGTCCATAACTTCTTTCTGAAACCATACCTAAGCAGGCTGCTTAGGCAGCTGTCTTTCATAGAAGCTGCTTCTAATAGGCCACTTGGTCACAGCTGAAGGAGGTAATTCAGCTCCTCATGAACCCTTTGGGTCAAATGGATCAATAAATAATTCCAAGCTCTGAAAAGTGAATCCCCATACTTTGTCTTATTTACCTTGACTCTTTAAATGGAGAATCTTTTTGCAACTATTACCCATTCAATTCAGAAAAAGCATTTACCTCAAGTAGATGTCAGTGGGATTTAAGCACAACATGAATAGTTCATTAACTGCATCTCACATTTCTATCACAATAGTCAGTATTAAACTGCTCTCCAGGAATGAGGTCTAGTTCTAATGTTCCTTTGATTAGCATTCCTAATTGCCTTGCTATCAAATGTTTAACTCACTGAAAATGAGTGTCTTGCTTGTTAAATTATTGCTTGTCTGACTTTTTTCTATACACATTATTTTGAAATGGGAACTTGAATCTAGTTGGAAACATTGTCACACACTGATATATTTCCACTTTGAGCCTGGCAGGGGGTGTCTTTATGTGGGTGGAGTTCTGGGGTGAAAGTATGTTTCCTGTTTGCAGAATCAGGGCCCTTTTCAGCTGATATAAACAACCTCCAATTCCCACTGATGTGTAGTTACTTGCATAAGTAGCCCTAGTAGAAGTAGGGGGCAGTTAATTAAGAAGTTTGCAATCTGATCTTTGATATAATTAGATTTGCTATGTTCAAAACACAATAATAATGGCGACAGGAAGTGACCAGACAGAAATTTTCCTGCTCTCATTTATTGTTTTAAGATGCTTTTGAGTTTATTTATTTTTTTTGTCTGTAGCTATCTTGCCTGCCTCCATGGTGAATCACTTTCTATTGGAATGCTTTTCCTTTTTCCTTTTAGATATTTTATTTATATACAGGGGATCTTCTTTTTTTAATAGGGGATAGTAAATACTACCGAAAGAAATGCTAGTCCAACCCATTACATTTGCAAGTGATACATCCTTATTGCGTTTAAAATGGGTGAATGTCTTTTTTAGCATAATACAAATAGGCATTCAAATATTTTCAATGTCTGCATGTAAGTAGCTTATTTTGTTAAGGTCTATTTCTCCAGATCTTTCCTCTCATGTTTTTGGGGAAGTAATACAACCACAACACCCTTTTTTATTGATTCTGGTCCCTTCCCTATTGTTCTTTTTTACTTGTATGATCAAGAACATTTGGAGAAAGAAGAAATCATTTCAAACTTGCAAGTGATGCTGGGTAGTTGACTTGAAGTTGGATCAAATCCCCACAGGCATTTTTCCTGTTTGCAGTGGGAGTTGGGTTGGATTCATTTAGCCTAGCCTAGCAAGAAGCCTTGCTTCTGTCCTGTTGACCAATTTTTAACTCACACACTATTAAACTTGTGACTCAGAAGAGAGAGAAAATGCTGGAAGATGGATTTTAATTTTTTTTTTCCACAGTTGACCTAATTATTCTCCTATTCATTTTAACATGGAAAGTGGAGGACTTTAGAAAATACAACTCCAAGTATATCAGGAATTCAGTGGGAATCTGTTACCAGTTTGCAGCTATAATCTACTGGTCAGCACGTATCTAACCAGTGGGTTACACAGGATTTGATCCTGACTAGACCTGTGGAACTTGAAGTAACTGATCTGAAGCCTCTAGGAGTATATGAATCAATTCTGAAAAAAAACTGAACCCCAACCACTAAACTCCAGGTCAAGCAGAGGCATATCCAGGGAGAAGGAGAGGGGTGCACCCTCCCTGCCCTTTTCAGGAGAAGCAGCAGCATTTCTATTCAGGAAGTGCTGATGGAGTCAATTGATTCCATGGCTCATTATAAATGTACCTGATTACTGCTAATCTCCTCACTCCACACGTGTTAACAACCCTCTCTCCTTTTTAATGCTCTTGATATTCCATTCTTCAAGGTATCCTTTCTTCTGCAATTTTGCTATCTGTTAGCCATTCCTGGTCATCTCTCTCATCTATATCACAGACTATTTTTAATTCTAGCTAAAGACCTTAACTTTGGTGTGGTAATACTAAACCCAGGTGAATGTTAGTATGGGTATGGACATGATTGACAGCAAAGCATTGAATGCACTGTCAAGATGCTGAAGACGGCTAGGTTTTGTTTTTTAAATATGAATACAATATGCACATTTAACTATAATGACTAAAGAATAATAAAACAAGATCTTTTGACTATTTTGGCCTAGTTTGCTGTGCTTTCAAAATTAATTTATAACCTAGTAAATTAGTCCAATAAAGTTGCATTTATTTTTGCTTTGATCTTAAACTAAATATTATAGTACTGAGCCCCTAGAATATTCATATATCTTGTAGTTTCTCTTTAACTGTAGAAAAATGTATTGTGTTATATGATGTTGCACCACACCACCTGTTTCCCCCTTTTCAAAATCCTAGATCTACCCATGAACTAAGTTCCTTTCCTTTTCTATTTATACTTATTCAATTTCTATGTGGAATCATAAGCAGAAATGTTTTGGTATTTCTAATCCAGCAGGGAGCACTCATTCCAGGATGGAGGTCTAAAGAAACCACTTGCAAGATTTCCAGCCTGGCTTTACAGATAGAAATAAGTATTAAAGTTCCTGAATAAAAACAAACTGAGACTTCTTGAGGCTATCTGCTTGTTACTCCTTTTGTCCTAAGAATTAGCCAACTCCTGGGGTATTGTGTTGGTTCTGTTAGGAGGAAAAATTGGTGACAGAGGGCACATCTACACATGCATTGATTTGGGATCAGTTTACTAGTGAGTAGACTACTGTACTTGTGAGTAAACTACTCTCTGGGCCTCAACATGGCTGTCCCTGTGCTGCTGGGTCTGGGCATCTGCCTGTAGTGCCCAGGGGCACGGCATGGAACTGGCAGCTGCGTGGCAAGGCAATGACCCACAGCACCTGCAAGCTCTGGGCGGGCCGCTAGGGGTGGGCTGCAGGCAGCTGGAGCTGGCCCCTGTGTCTAGGAACTGCCTGCAGCTGGGACTGCAGCACCCTGCAGGCCTGGACAGCATGAGCCTGGGAGCCACATAGCACTGCAGTGCCAGGCAGCGGCGCCAGGGTGCAGGCAAGCTGGCACAGCTGGCCTGCAGCCTGAACTGGGGGAAACAGTGGCTTGGTGTGGCCTTGACTCCCTGCATGTGTCCCAGGGCTCTGAGTGCCTGCAGGCTTTTAAGGGTGTGAGGCTGGGGCTGCCAGAGAGCCAACTCAGCCCTGGGGTAGGAGAAGCTCTCAACCCTGGAGCCCTGGGGCTAGCCTCAGGCTGGCCCCCTAGTAATGGGACTGACCGGGAGGAAATTTGGTTCCAGTTAGTGTATTATACATGTGTGTTACTGTGCAGTAACTACTCATGAGTAAATTTGCTACTTGCATTTGTAGGTAGCAAATTTACTTGTGAATAGTGATTTTTGCTGTGCAGTAAGTGTGTGCACGTGTAGATACATACATTTACTGCACAGTAAACTATGCTGCTGTACAGTAAAGCAACTCATGTAGATGTGCCCAGGGTCATGTATTTCTTTAATTCAGTCACGTGTATTAATAAATGGAAAGTCAATCGCTGAATATGGGAATCAAGGAGGAGGAAAGAGTCGCAAGCAATTTTTCAGTTCTTTCCACCTTCTTTCCTCAGGGTCATGCTACATGTATGGCTCTCACTTTGCTGTGGCTTACTTGCTGCCTTCTGTCTACTTAGGTATCTGTTAGGGTGGCCATCATAGAGGACATTCTTGTTTTATGCTACTCTATCCTTTGTCCTCTATTGATACGAAACTCGACAACATTATGTCCTCTATTTTTCTCTTCAAAAATTCAAGAAAAATAGAGGACATAAAGGCGTCAGGTTTTGTATCAAGAAAGGACAGAGGACAACCTGACTGTCCTCTATGATGATCACCCTAGTTCCTGTACATGAGTACAAAGGCTGCTCCAATGCACTGTAATTATAGCGCATGGGAGCAGGCTTGAATTGAGTCTGCTGGACTGTGGAAATTACTGCACTCCAGCCAGCCTCTAAGCCTCATGTTTCAACATCCCTTCACTTCAAAATGGTGGTGAGGATGCTCATACATGAGATAGTGGTACATAAGATGCTGTGGCACTTTAAATAGAGCAGCTTTCAGAGCCACTTTAATTAAAGTGCCCACCTCCCTGAGCACATGTAAAAGTGTCCTTTATGTCTGGAGTAGCCAACCCGTAGCACGTGTGCCACAAGTGGTATAGACTGCTGCTGTGTTTGGCACGTGGCAAATCAGGCATGGGGTAAGGAGCAGAGCGGCAGATCAGGCAGGGGAAGGGAATTGGAGTGTCACTCAGGAAAGGGCTGGGGCTTAAATTGTGGCACACTGAAACTTGTGGAATGCTTGCCAACAAAGTTCCTCACCATTACCTTATGCAATGTTCCTGCTGCTTCTCTTACAAAGAGCTACAATTCAGTTAGTCACCTGTTCCTTATTAGGATCCTGCTAAACCCCTTGGACTACCTGCTCCAGCCCTTCCTAAGGTTTACATGCAGTTAGTCCCTTAGAAATAGTTTTCCCTTGCTTTAGGTATCACTAAGCAAAGAGGCATTTAATTTTGCCCTCATTTAGCTTGAATAGGCAGTGGTTGTCATGTCCAGCAGCTTCAGTTAGGTGGCAGGATTGCCCAACCCCTTGTATTCTTTTACCCTCAGTAAAAGGACTGTCTCATAGAATTCCTTTGTTGGATAAATCAGGACAATTTCTTCTGTAAATTGGGCATTATCCAACACGTGCAACTGAGCATGGTTGATCCAGGAAATGAAAGCTTTAATACTCTTAATGAGAAAAATCTGGACTTGTAAATTTGGTGGATGAAGAGACCAGCTGTTATACTAGCTATGCTGGAGGGTTATTTTGCTTTGAACCCTATGATCTTGAACCAATGATCTTGTTGAAATTTTAGTAGCCGTTTCAAAATGAAGCTCTAGAAAGAGTTTTGTCCCTGACTGATCCTGCCAAATGTTTATACATGCAAGTAGATCTCCTCTCGTAAGTAATTCTATTGGCTGCAACAAGGCATCTTGTGTAAATAAAATTACTCCCTCAAGTGCATACTTGCAGGTTGTGA